TGGAGGGAGGGCGGAGGGAGAACCTGAGGATGGAGGTTTCCACCTTGACACGACGGCAAACCCGGGGCCCGCGGAGCCGCCCGCGCGTGATGCGCCGGCGGCGCCGCCGGCCGCGCCCCAGGAGTCGGGCGCGGGCGACGCTGGCGATGGCGCCCCCTCGAGCAGGGAGGGCGCGAGCGTCGCCCCATCTACCACGTCGACCGGGATGGCCGATGTGGGCGGCGGCGAGGACGACCGTCGCAGCAGCAGCAGCCGCGGTGGCGGCAGCAGCAGCAGCAGCAGCAGCAGCAGCAACAGCAGCGGTAGCGGCAGTGACAGCGGCAGCGACACGGACATCCCGGCCCTCCGCGGGCCCGAGGGACGGAAGCTCGCCCGCTTTGGCGAGCCGGCGGAGCTCACCAGCCGCCGACTCAGGGAGAACCCTCGCCGGAACATGAGGTACGAGTCGTCGCCGTCGCCAACGAGTGCCGAAGGCCTGCTCGCCCGCCATGCGTCGGAGGCGGGGCTGCCCATCCTGCCCATCAACAGCACGACGGAGCACACCCACTGGATGATCGCGTGTGTGGTCGACGTGGTGGAAGAGCTAGAGGCGAGGGCGGTGCAAGCGCTGCTGTGCGAGCGCGCGGAGGAGGCCAACATCGCGCGCCAAGAGGCAGAGGACTTCCTGCTGGGAGCGGAGGACCTCGTGCTCAACTCTCCAGACGCCTTCGCGAGGGCCCTGGCGTCGACCGAGCTGAGTACAGAATCCCCCATAGGCAAGCGTCCGAGTGACGTCGAATCCCCCCCCATGACCGTAGCCGGCGTTAACAAGTCTGTGTACAGAGAGGGATGGGAACAGGCCATGAGGGAAGAGTTTGATGGGCACTTGGGCACGGGAACGTTTTCATTCGTAGACGGTACGCCAGAGGGGCGTAGACCCGTGAGCTCGAAGTGGCGCTTCACTTGGAAGACAAACAAGGACGGAAAAATTGAGAAGTTCAAAGCGCGTCTGGTCGCTAGGGGGTTTTCGCAAATCCCGAACGTGGACTACTTCCACTCATCCTCCCCTTGCCCATCATCCGCATCCATTAAACTGATGCTTGCGGTAGCCAACGAGAAATCGCTGAAACTCAACCACTGGGATGTCAAGCAGGCGTTTACACACGCTAAGTTGGACGAGGATGTGTTTCTGAGGCTCCCCGCGGGGTGCGGGGAAAAATCCCACAAAGTTGTGAAGGCTGAGCGTGCTATTTACGGCTTGAAGCAGAGCGGCAGGCAGTGGGGGTACCACGCTGCCGATACTCTTGTAGAAAACGGGTTCGAGCAGTGCAAGGCTGACCCGTGCGTCTTCCGCAAGATGAAAGACGATGTCGTGGTGATGATTATCGTGATTTATGTGGATGACATTTTGGTGGCCGGGTCTGATGATGATTGCAAGGAGTTGCTTGCTTCCCTCAACAAGGCATTCCCCACCAAAGACCTTGGAGAGTGCGTGTGGTTCGACGGGTGTGCCGTCGAGAGAGACCTAGAGGCTGGGACCCTTAGAATCTCCCAAACCGCGTACATTGACAGCATCGTGAATCGCTTTGATGTGCAGTCGACCTCCTCCATCCCTGCTTCCCCTGGTGTCGATATAGGACCGAAGCGGGATGACGAGAGTGGAGGGGAATGGCCGGTGAGGGAGGCCATCGGCAGCATGATGTGGGTGTCGACGTTCTCGCGCCCGGACATCTCGTTCGCCGTGCGTGCGGTAGCGCGCCATGCCCATGCCCCTGCCGAGAGGCACTGGAAGGCGATCGTGAAGATCCTCGCCTACCTCAAAGAGACGAGGGACCTCGGGATCACCTACGAACGGGGATCGGGGTTGGGGCTGGCGGTGTACGTGGACGCTAGCTACGCCGACGCTGAGGATAGGCGTTCGGTGTCAGGGCTGGCAACAACGGTTGGAGGGACCGTCATCAGCCACGGTAGCAAGACGCAAGCTATCGTATCTTTGTCGTCTACGGAGGCAGAGTACATTGCTGCCGGGGAGGGTGTGAAGGAAGCTTTGTTTGTGCGTGCAGTGCTTTCGTTTATTGCCCCAGAGACCAGTGGCAGCAGCATTCAGGTCCTTGAGGACAATCAGGGGGCTATGGCTTTGGTGCAGAACCCCCTCAGCTCAGCGCGTAGCAAGCACATCGACGTGAGGTACCACTTCATTCGTGGATTGTTCAGGTCGGGGGACATCTCGATCAAGTTTGTGTCGACGTCGGAGCAGCATGCCGACATGCTTACCAAGGCTCTTAGCAAGAGCAGTCTGCAGTACCACCGGCGCAAGTTGATGAATTTGCCGGAGTAGCTAGCAGTTTTTAGCACTTGGGAAGGGCCATGTTTACCATGCGGGAAAGTCGCATTACTGTCGCGGTCTGTGTACCCATGGCAGGAGTAGGGGGCGTTGGGAGGCCATCGTCCGGGGGAACGTAGTTCCTTGCGATCTTGTCTTCGCCTTGGTCTTTCTGATAAGTGCGGCCGTTGTACATCCGCCGTGATAGCAATGGTTTTTGTGTTGGATGGGGTTTTCTTTGGAGGGGTTTTGCCCGGGGGCCGGGTTTCCCCTCCACCACCGTATGGTTTTTTTATTGATGTATCCGGGGTGTTGTTGCCCCACTGATGGTTAGTCACTTGCGTGAAGAACCAGGGAGGGTGTTCGTGGGTCTACGGACATGGTTTGGATACATTAGCCATACGTACAAGTGTGACGCAGATGGTGTAGAACCTTTTAGGTAGGGGTACGGTGATGATGCACCGGGACCCCCTTTGTTGAGTGCAGCAGCCGCGCTGCCACTCTCTCTTTCTCCTCCTGCTTTCCGAGCACGACAGCGTCCTGGGTACGGGCGTTGTCTCACCGTCTGAAGTTAATACACTACACAAACAAGTCCCGATAAGTACGCGGAGTACGGCCGACAAACAGGGAAAACCAACGGGCCATGGCGTTGCTTCGAGAGAATGTGGAGGGAGCTACCTTTGTGACAATCTCCATCTTCTCGCTCTACCGGTCATTTGCGCTCATTGCCACTTGATGCGGCGAGGCTTACCCTTTCCTTTCTTGAGATGTTTTCAGAATAATTGGTCACAGTAGTCCCGCTAACCACAATCTGTGTTCAGGATACAGCCACCACGAGTGTGAAGCAACCAGTTGTCGGAGAGGAGCACGGATGCGAAGAATAGGCAAGCTCTACAAGAAGGTGCTCATGTGCTTGCTTGATTGTTGTGTTAGCAGTAGCATTTTGCCACAAGTGCGTCGTTTTCCTGACTCTTATCAATTCTGGTGCCGTGGTCCTTTGGTACTGACTAGTGGTGAGGGTGGAAGGCAGAAATAGATGTGGCCGGGGTTGGTGCGTCTTGTTGCCAGCGGTACAGAAGCGTCGTACGGGCTACCGATATGTGAGGGAGGGGGAGTAAACCTGCAGGACAGCAGCAGGACACATGGATGGTAGTAAAAGTGTAGGGGGACGAGAGATATTTCGTAAAGCCGTCCACGGGCAGGTTTAGTACAGTACAATACTGCCAGTATTTTCAGTATTGCAGTACCTTTGGCCATAATATACTGTACTGCACGCTTTAGTACAGCTTTCGATACTGGAATAAAAATACTGCACGCTTTAGTACAGCTTTCGATACTGGAATAAAAATACTGCACGCTTTAGTACAGCTTTCAATACTGGAATAAAAATACTGCACTCTCCAGTACAGCTCTCGATACTGGAATATACTGTACTGGCAGCACGGCTCTCGGTACTGTACTGTACTGGACGCTTTAGTACAGCTTTCAATACTGGAATAAAAATACTGCACTCTCCAGTACAGCTCTCGATACTGGAATATACTGTACTGGCAGCACGGCTCTCGGTACTGTACTGTACTGGACGCTTTAGTACAGCTTTCAATACTGGAATAAAAATACTGCACTCTCCAGTACAGCTCTCGATACTGGAATATACTGTACTGGCAGTACGGCTCTCGGTACTGTACTGTACTGCACGCTTTAGTACAGCTTTCAATACTGGAATAAAAATACTGCACTCTCCAGTACAGCTCTCGATACTGGAATATACTGTACTGGCAGCACGGCTCTCGGTACTGTACTGTACTGGACGCTTTAGTACAGCTTTCAATACTGGAATAAAAATACTGCACTCTCCAGTACAGCTCTCGATACTGGAATATACTGTACTGGCAGTACGGCTCTCGGTACTGTACTGTACTGCACGCTTTAGTACAGCTTTCAATACTGGAATAAAAATACTGCAATCTCCAGTACAGCTCTCGATACTGGAATATACTGTACTGGCAGCACGGCTCTCGGTACTGTACTGTACTGGACGCTTTAGTACAGCTTTCAATACTGGAATAAAAATACTGCAATCTCCAGTACAGCTCTCGATACTGGAATATACTGTACTGGCAGCACGGCGCTCGGTACTGTACTGTACTGGACGTTTTAGTACAGCTTTCAATACTGGAATAAAAATACTGCAATCTCCAGTACAGCTCTCGATACTGGAATATACTGTACTGGCAGCACGGCTCTCGGTACTGTACTGTACTGGACGTTTTAGTACGCAGTTAAATACTGGAATAAAAATACTGTACTGTACTAAACCTGCCCGTGAAAGCCTCCTTTAGAGCTCTCAGCACGGTCAGGACTCGTGGGATTGTTTCATCACAGGCGTGTTTTGCTCGGGTGATGATCCTCCAACAATGTAGGCTGTGCGTTCCATGTTCCCTAGTCGCGAGAGCATTATCAGCAGAGCAATTGGTGGCAGCATTTATCCGTAGTTCGGACCTACACCGTGCCGCGCTTGACGGTATCGTTGTTGCCCATTTCGGTTCCAGAGATGGGCGACAGGCTCGCCATTGTTTGGTGGAAATGCGGGGCGAACGCAAGCGGAAATGAATGACCAATCAGCTTCAGTGCAACGTCCCTATTTTATCCAATGGCTGACCAAAAGCACAAGCCCTTGATTCTCGCCTTGGGAGGCAGTTCACAGACTCCTGCCTTAGGTTGACACAGTGTGCAAGTTATTTTGCGGAGCGTTAATGTCAGCACTCCCCATTACAAGAGTAATTTTGCGGAGCGTTAATGGCAGCACTCCCCATTACAAGAGTCCAACCGTATTGGCGGGGAGTGCACCTGTCAACTCCGGCCGTTCGCGGCACATGGTCAGAGGACGAGACCAATTCTGACAGTACCTATGCATATGATGAGGCATGGCAAGGTGGGGCTTCAGGTGACAGCGCCAACGCAATGCCGCAGCAATCTCTACACGGGTGTCGGCCCCACCCATCTCCATCCGCCTCACGCGGACCGTCTCAACATCAAGAGTGATTCGTACCGTCATAGGCATAGTGCCGAGGGGGGCGGTGGACGCGGAACCGACGGAAAACAGAGCCAACGCGTATCGTAACACTGTGACTCACCATTGGCAACCCCGGCACAACTTTCAAAAGCGGTTTCACATTACGAGCATACTCCCGCGGCTGTTTTCTCCCCACACCCAGAACAGCAAAAAATCGCCATGACTCTCACACGGCACGGCCGGTGGATGAACAAAAACTACAGTGAATATTTCAGAGGAGCACCTCCCGCTCGATTAATTCCTCGATCCAGTTTTCTCACATGCCACCATCGCTCGGGCAAGCAGACACAAGAGGCTCAAAACCCATCGTCAACACCCTTACAACACCACGCCACATCATTTTGGTGCTGAAGCTCTGAAGGATGCAGCCACGCGTTTCGTGTTCTCTCTGTTCCTATTTGCTCCTCCGCACCAGCAGCAGCTAATGGCCAAGTAAATGACCCCCACGATAGTTCCTGATCACCGAGGCCGTTCTTCCAAATACACGACTTGTCACGAAGTCATCGATTTCGGTGACCACGCACTCGGTGCCCGACAGCAGCTGTCCCAATTTACCCCGAACACCGATACCCTTGATTCCAAATATCTCGCGCCTCTCATCTACATGACTGCCACGACGTCATCGATCTTGAGGATCATCCCCACACACTCAGTGGCCAGCTTGAGAGCGCTCGAGTTTACGAGCACCGGCTGGATCACGTGCTCTGCGTACATATCGCTGATGGTGCCCTTGCGTACGTTGATACCTGAAGACGAGGGGGATACGAATGGGGCGGCAACGAAATCAGGCCCGACCGTTGGTGGTCGCACTACGGCTACATTGCGCGGTAACGCCACCAAGAGGAGCAGTGACATTTTGAGGCGGGACTTTCACAAACAAAATGACCATATGCGGCATAACTTCTCTCTGACGACGTATAACATAAAGTAGGCAGACAAAAAACGCAACACGCAAGGACCCACCCACCTGCTCCAACCTTGCCCTTGGCGTGCTCCGAACGAAGCTCGGTGACGATGCTAATCGGGTTCATTCCCGCATTTTCCGCCAGAGTGTACGGGATAACCTCCAGAGCTGAAGCAGCAGAAGCGGCAATGGGCACGACGGCAGCAATATCAGCATCCATCCACAACAGCCGCATTGGCGCAGCTTCAACGAGAGTCACACACCAAAAAGGCTTAAGTGCCAACGCCAAGCGGAGCAGGGATCTGTTTCTGTCCACAACAATAACCATGGACTCCAAACATGTCAACGATCGGCTTGGGTTCCCAAACATGTCGTTGTATTGACTGCTCATGGCAGGTTTCACATTACTCGTGGAGTACGCCCTCCTGCTGTTGTGGCTACAGCTGCAAGCGCGTGGATGTACATTCTTCGGCTCAGGGTTGCAACAAACAAATCAAATGACACAGTGAGCAGAGCTGCCGCTGGCACGTAATGCATCACACACGTCGTGATACTATCTTACCAAAGCACTGTGTAAGCTGCAACAGTAACGACAAGTTGGGTCCTACGCTCGCCACCAACAACTTACGCCAACCCGCCCATACGCAAAACTCTTGGCCCGCGACTCGAATCCACAGACCGCTTTACTCCCGCCCAACCCAACCACCCGGCGCCACCTCCTGCACGAGACACAACGAGATTGATCCTACAAGCAACGAAGCACGAGAAGGCACGTGGCCCACAGAAAGGTCAACCTCACAAGGTACGACAGTCCTCGGTCATGGCTTTCGCGCGTGCTTTTTCCTCACCCTCGCCGTACGCCCGTATGCAGTACCCTCGCATGCCAGTCTGAGTCTTGGCCCACTCTGTCAACTGCATCGCGACCTCCGTCTCCGCCGCGCCGCCCCCCGAGATGAGGAAGCGCTTCTTCACCTGCGGTTAGTTCCGACAGGAGAAGGAACCATGCCGAAAACAAAGGAACATGTCAAGTCACGGCAAAAACTGGGGGAAAATACGCATGCTCTGCCTTGTTCGTAACACTGGTGATCGCGGGATAGGCCATGTTCTACAGTACACCATATCCCACCGCGTCCCCATCCATGTGCTGAAGGAAAACGTGCAGCTGACGAACAGTTCGAGACCTTTCAGAATACAGGTTGCGAACTTTGCAAAAGACGAGATCGAACGTAGCGTTAGGCGTGCACCCACGGAAAACAGCAATAGTTGACGCTTCCCACGACCGTAACCAGCAGACCACGACGAAGACAACGAACGCCCAAGACAAGAAGCACAGGTGAACGCGAAAAGACGCCCAAGACCTACTTTCCGAAGGCGTCAAACAACGGCTATCGAAGGCCGTTCAATGTTAACAGCCGCCTCTTCTATCTAGGGGAGCAGCCGCCGCAGACCTGCCACTGTTCGACAACATTCCGCCTTTGCGGTTGTCGAAGTGAAACTTCCCTCTGCCTGTTGGCCGGCCTGAAGGGTGTCCTTGTGCTTCTAAAATCGTATTCCGTCAACGTGTTCACGAGCGTCGCTCGCAGTTTCTAGCTAACGCTACGGTCTGTGCTTCCCTCTACTCAACGGCTCCGAACCGGGGTCACAAAGACAAGGAATTCCTCTGCAACGCTAGTCGTGGTCAAAGTTCCGGACAAACCTCTGCTAAATAGCGGACCACAAGCACGCTACCGGACGCATTGAGCTCCGGAAGTCCGTGGCGAGGGTGCGCAAAACAACCGCGCGACGCGCTGACCATATAGGCTAGAATCGATGCCACCTGCTGTCAACGCCAGAAAATACAAGACGCTGTACTCGCAAGGACTACGCGCCAGGCGCAAAGAGTACCAACTTGGCTAAAAACTCCAAAGAGGGTGCCAAATTTTCGTTGGCAAGCACTCACCAGAGACCGCACAACGCACAGAGCATCGTGCACGCTGCGCTCCGCCTCGTCAAGCACCAGGCGGTTAGACCCGCGCATGAGCACCGTCATGGTCATGCCCGTTGTTGGCACGCCCGTCACCTTCACGATCTGCCGTACAACATCCAAGACAAAAAACAAAACAAAAAACGCAAACACGGTTAGCGCTGTCGGTGCGAAGAACAAACGCATACCCAAAACATACAGAAGCATGACGCTGCTCTAGTCCAACTCCTGCGTACCCCTGGTCGGTAGGGCCCCCTGACTAAGACACCGTTTTCGCGAAATTTTCAAATCCCGCCGTAAGGCCGACGTCTTTTCATTGGTCAGCCCGTTAAGCACGGTCGATTCTAATGAAAGAAAAGCACACGGCGGCACCAGAGCATGCGCGGAACAACGAAGCCGGGAAGAACATGGGGTCTTCTTGCTCGACCGTTACGGCCGTTACGGCTTTTTTTGGACTGAGTGAGTGGTTGCCTCATCACGACGGAACCTCATCGCGTCATCGTCGGGAACATACACACCACTGGACGCACACGATCACCACATACTGCAGACGGCAGGCGCTACACGCAGACGTCGCGTCACTCCCCGAGGCCATGCTCGAACCAGCGAAGACCTGGCCGCGGCGCGTACAACAAAATGTTGTGTGTTTCCCGTCCCCTCCCGTGCAGAAACCCCTGAACAGCTACCAACCGTCGTGCCACTACCACTCGTTTGCCTCGCATACAATATTTGGGCTCAAGGAGTCCCGGTCGCGCACGGGAACATCTAGAAAAAAAAAAAAAAAGCCACACAACGAAAAGGAAGCAGGTTCGGTTGGCCCACCTTGTGGCCGGAGCCAGGCATCGAAACCTCCTGCACGAGGTCCGCAGTCCTGTGGCGGTGAGAAAGAAACGGCCAATAAAGAGAGAGGGAGAGGGCGGCCAGCTGTGGGAGTTGGACGAACGAAACGACCAAGCGGTGGATGGCATCCCCGCCTATCGAGGGGCGTGGCGGCTTGCCGACGGCGAAGCAAGAGGCAGTGTGTTGCTGCGAGGTACTCTGCGGCGTCGCGCGTGGCCTGACGAGCCACAGGCAGTAAGCACCCAAGCCCTCCCCGCAGACTGTTGACTGTGCCACGGAATGAAGGATTGGTGTATCAAGAGGACCGATATGGAGAGGAGGACGCTAAGCACGTGGTTTTGCTACCACCACCGGACCAATGCCGAAGGTACAGGCAGGCCTCTGGGAGAAGCCAAGGGCGGGCGACACAAGATTTAAGAAGCAGGACAAGCTTTGCTGCCGAAACTTTAGAGAAGCGCGGGCGCACTCGCTGATCATACCGACGCAAACGGAGGAAATACTCCAAGTTTGTACTGTGGCACAACAGAGAGAAGGCCCTGTAAACGGGAAAGCGGCAACCACCGACAGGGCCGAGAAAAGAGACGCCCCAACAATAGTAGCCGAGATGCACCAACAAAACACCATTGTTCGCAGCATGTCTTCTTGGTCGTTCGATCGACAACGCTTCATGTACCTACCCGAGTTTGTCGGCGGTGAAGGTGTCGATGTGAGCGCATGGCTTGAGCGCCAGCGTCCGGGAGATGAACTCGATGTCGCTCCGCTCCACGTCGGTGATCACCATGATGCCCATCTTAACCAACAAAGCGGGTTCCGACGAGAGCGGTTGGTCGGCGCCATTGCGGAAACAAGACAATGGAGATAGAAGTCTGCGTGCAACCGTGCAAGACTATTTGCTTCATTTCGTCCAGCTAGGGCAGATTCGACAAAAAGCGGTCATCGCAATCAAGAGCCAACGTAGGCCTTGCACCTGGTTGTGCAATCTCTGGCGCGGGACACCACAAGCTGCATGTGGCGCAGTAATCGCGTGTACTGTATGTAGCCTACTGCTACCTGCTCGGACTCCTCGTAACGGTACACCTCATCGTAACGATACAACTACCGTTGCGATCCTTCTCCACAATGTTGTCACCGGAAATAATCCACCGTGAACTGCAACGCCCAGAACAGTTAGCTGTATTCCTGAGTGAATGCAGAACGATTATGTGTATACGCGTACGTACAATGCATTCCTCCACGTCGGCCCAGGCTAAACACCAAAAGAAGTGAGAGTGCTGTGGGAAATACTAACCACAGCATCTATTCAGCCCAACAAGTGAAAGAACAGGGTATCTACAGAAACACAGTGTGGTGCGCTTGACCTCACCTTGGCGAGGAAGTGGATGGAAAGGTCGTTGTACGCGTCCCTGAGAATGCTCTTCTGCACGAGGAGCACGGTGCACCCGGCCTTCTTGATCTGCACAAGGCCAAAGCACAAGACGACCAAAAAACGACACAGACGCCACGGTCGTGACGCCCAAGCGCAGCACGAATAACAATATCAAGATAACGCAGGACACAACCAAAAAAGAATCGCTGGGTTGGCCGGGGGCTTGGAGAGTAACAAGAATTGAGTCAGTCAACGCCTGACGTGTGGTTAGAACGAACAACAAGAACCACGCAGAAGTGGGGGCGGCCATGGTCCATGACAAGAGATAATCAGGGAACACACTCTCGCCTTCTTGCAGAGACCAAGGATGTATTTGCGCTCTTCTCTCAAGATACGGTCCATCGCGGCGTAGTCGGACACCACCACGTTGTTCTCCATATCCGTCTTGGGCGCCGAGAGGCAGAACTGGATCAGGCCCACCTGTTTTCAGGGCCACAACGCCAGGACCAAAGAAAACAACAGATAGAAAAACGGGAACATGATCGCGTGAAGCAGCAGTGGCTTCGGAAAAATCAAGGTCGTTCTGCTTGGAACTCGAATCCGACGCGAGAATGAGCGGCACCAGTGCCAAGACAGGAAGCAAGCGCAGCAACAGCATGAGAAGCTAGTCAGTCACAGGCAGTCAGCCCGACAAGGTTCTAGTCCACATGCGAAGGCTCTTGAGCCGTGACAAACAAGGGCAAACCCCTCACGAAAACAAAAAACGGTCACATGGAAAGGGCGCAACAACCTGGGACCGGCTTCGTGGCGCCAATGAGACTCCACGGAAGAAACAAGGACACTAAAATTCAGCCATGGAGCAATAGCGAAAAGGGGTCGAGCACACCGCGTATACCGACCTTGGCGTTCTCGATGGTGGTGGGACCTCCTGCGCTCTTCTTAGCGCCCTTCTCGAACACCATCCCGTGCACCAGCTCGCTGTCGTCGATGGTACCTCCGAGCTGCTTGCAGATCTGCCACGCACACAACGCCCACACCCCGGAAGAGTTAGTCCAAAGACGTTGTAAAGATTAATTTCAAAAAGTTTTGAAACGGCAACTCCTGTACCTCTCATGAGTGATTTTTATCCCGGCCAGCGCTGATGAACCTTTGGAACCTTCCCCTTTGCTATGAGGAATCCAACACATTCATACTCTCATGACATGACCCACGCCAAGAGGTAGAGGGTCCCTTCCTTGTCGCAAAATAGATTCCACAAAAAAAAAAACGAGTAACGATATGTACGTTGAGGAGCGAGGTCGAAGACAAGGCGACCGGTCAACCTACGCACCTTCCGTGTCAAGGCCACCCCAACGTATATGCCCCGCTGTGCACTACGCGCCGCCCAGGAGCCTCGTCTGTCTACCAACCCTCACCCATCCCGCCAGACGTCTTCCGCCTCCCGCAAGAAATACCTTGATATCCCTGAGGTCGACGTTGGTGGCGTTGATAGGGTCGATGATGCCAAGAACGGCATCCACGGCCATGGGACTGATCGTCTCGCAGTTTTGGCTCACGACCTTCGACGACAAGCATGTGTCCACTGCCTGGATAAGCGTCTCCCTGGGGGGGGGGGGGGGG